TGTATACATATACATATACTGTATACATGGAGAACATTTCAACTTTGTCAACCTCAGAACCTCAGTAACAAATGTTCTACCTTCTCATACGTGCAGCTGCTATAACTCTCAGAGCTCTCTTTACCAACAATTCCACAAGCTACACAATATAAATACATACATTCCTACAAACCTTTGCATATAAACCTTTTTAACAAACAGGCTATTGCTATGGAAAAATAGCTACAAATCTAACACCTCTTAAAACTGCAATTAAGACATTTTAATGGCCTTAATTTTTACTAAATTGACTGAATACATTTTAAGACACCCTGTATTACAACTTTAAAAACCAAGCATTACAGCTGTTGTCCCAATACTCACTTTTACTTCTAATTCTTTTTCTTACAATATTACATTTTTTTTAAGTATTACAGCTATGTTTCCAAAACATTAGAAGCAGAAATAACACTTTTTTCTAGCTTTTTAAATCAAAGAAACCTAACTACAACTTTACACTGCACAATAATACTGTATTGTATTTTATAATGTTCTTCTGGACATGTTTCTTTTTCTGAAGTGGCTGTGATGTTAGCATGTTCAGGTCCAAACATCAGCACAGTGAGCAGGTCTGAAGCTGAACAAACACCACATCAGGCCATGAGAATATACAGTTTTCATGCCAGCATATGATCCTCAGTCCAAACCGGTCTGACAGGATAACCTGGATCTGATGGGACTCACCGAGACGAGTCTTAAACTCGATCTTCTCCTCGGGCTCCACGTCCTTCCTGTTGTAGAGGCAGAGGGGTCAAAGGTCACTCAGACAGCTCTGATTGGACAGAACTCCCAGTTTGTGGTGAACTGTCGCCTTAAATCAGGTACAGCTGGGGCTGGGCATGTCACTGTCTTTATACCAAAAACTGTTAAGTTGTGAAAAGACCAAAGCGGTAACCTCCATGATAATCTCCATCATCAACAGAGTCATAAACTGGAGGAGGTGACAGTTTACAGACATGTGTACATTTGATAAATGTGTGATGTTCCTCAGTACATGTCTTGTTTCATACTTGGCCTCTTTCTGGACTTTCTCCATCATGTCCTCTTCCTCTTTCTCCTTACTGGTGATTTCAGCTCTCACCTATAACACACACACAGGTGCAGGTCTTCATGATGCATCACTGAACTCTGCACAGTGGAAACACCGACTAGCAATAGTCACATCATGTTGTTTTCCGCAATGGGAATCTGAAGATGATGAGACCAGACTGAGACTCAGTGAATATGTGTGTGCTTGGGAGTGCAAATGAGTGAATGGACAAATAGTGTGAAAGTGCTCTGAATGTGCTGCAATGCATAAAAAAGCACAAGACAAGTATAGGACCATTTACCATACGGCACAGACCAATAAACTAAACCACGGACTGGACTCAGACACATTCTGGTGAAGACTCCACATTCACTAGTGCTGTTAGTCTCTGGATGGGATTTGTGGGAGATAACATAAACACACATCCTCTAAAGCAGGTTTAAAGGTGTTATTTGTAACCTGTCTGTTTGACTGCACAAACAGGTGTTATATGTTATGCAGATACTGTATATTTATCTTTGCACTATTTACATCCATTGAACTGTTAACTCATGTAACTTGTCTTCTTATTCTGCACTATTTCATTCCATCTCACTGCACTAGTGTTTTATAGCTTAATGTACTTTATGCAAAGTTTTAGATGCTAAACTGTATTTCGTTGCCTTGTACTTGTGCACGTGATGACAATAAAGTTTAATCTAATCTAATATATAAGGCAATCAGCCACACTATAACAAGCGATACAATATGATTTTACAATAAGAAAATTAGTAAAACCCCCATCAGAGACAACACCCATCCAGGTCTCCAGTGTTTCATAAAATGTTAATACATTTAACAACAAAATCCTTGATGTACTGAGTTTATTTTCTGACCTTCTGCAGCAGAGCAAAGTCCAGACCCTTCACCAAGTGAGTGTGCTCCATGTCACCTCCCAAAAACTTTGACTCCTGGATCAACTGACGACGTTTCTCTGCTGCAGACTTATCTCTGAAAAACACAGAACAATAAATCAGGAGCAGAAAATAAAACATGACCAAAATCGGGACCAGTCCCACAGCTTTGTAGTTAGCTGTGGTATTAGCAGTGTGAGCATTAGCGGTACTCACGCCTCAGCAGTGGGTCCTACAGCTCTGTAGTTAGCAGTGGTGCTAATCAGCTCTGTCTCTTCATAGTCTTTGTTGACCCCATCACGTCTCTCTCTCGCTCTGTCTCTGTATTTCTCAGCTAGCTCTCTCTCTCGCTCCATCTCCTGTTGACGTAGCTTAGCATAGTAACTGCAATAAAAAAAGATCATAAGTAGTTAATAGCAATAACTTAAATCAGATCAGCTAAAGACTACACAAATGAGAAAAAAAGAAATTTAGGCAAAACATCAGCCCAGTGGTGCTGGTTCCTAGCAAGCCAGTGATAGCATGTTAGCTGTTAAACATGGTATCACAGAAATGTTTAGCCTTTAAGGGGTCAGCATCAAAATCTGAGGAGCTTCTCATTCAGCTTTCAGACAACAGAAAAGTGTAAATGCAATAAACATTCTCCCATGTTACCATGGTAACCAGTTGCTGTAACACATCTATTGTCATTTACTAATACTAGGGTTGTAGCAGTCCAACCCATCCTGATCTGCAGGATAAATAAGAAGATGTCATCTAATCAATACTCACCTCTTCTTTTTCCTCCGCCTCGCTGCAGGATCCTCGTCCTCATTGTAGTCCCTTGGCATTCTGGGAAAAAAACGATCATTATCATCAGTGATCAGCTATATTTCTGCACTGACATCAGGTGTGACGTAAACATTATAAACAATGTTTTCTCTCGCAGGCACTCACTCATGGTGTCTGGACTTGGAGGGCGGAGCTGTAGAGGGCGCCGTCCGCGGTGTCATCAGCAGCTTCCTGAAGTCATCATTGGTCAGCTTGGACCTGAGGGGAGACACACAACATGTTAACATATGTGCGCACACACAGACACACAAACACACAGGTAAAGTAGGTAACACGGTAATATTCAGTAGTAGCAGCAGTATTCCCTACAGGTAAAGTAATGTAGCGAGGGATACTCAATATCAGTAGTACTGACCACAAGCAAAATACCATAGTAGTAATAGTAGCAGTAGTAGCAGTACTGACTACAGCTCAAATATCACAGTAATGCTCAGCAGCAGTAGTAGCAGTACTCACTGAGCAGCAGATCTGTGGTCGTCCACCTCGTGGCCATCAGGAGCCAGAGGGTTGGAGTAACTCTCAGCTGCAGAACACACAGACAGGATGTTAGTGCACAAAGTGGCAGCAGGGGGCTGCCAACACCCTGAGATAACCCAGGACAGAGTACTGTTTAAAGTACACTGTGGAGAACATGACCACCTGTAGTACTATGGGATACACACCTTTCTGCTGATATTTAACTGTTCCGCTGATCTACAGGTGCTGTAATCACCACCTGACTCAGACTGGATTTCTGAGGGCTCTGACTAAATATTATTTTCATTATTGATTAATCTACACTCAGATTACATTCTCGAATAATCAAGTGATCGCTTGATCCCGATACATGCTGAGAAGGCCATGTTACACTGAAGACAGTTCATTTTCTCGATCACCTGTTAACTCATTTGGTCCATGAAATGTCCGACAAAAAAACTTAAGTGTGAAAATAAATGCAGAGAAATCTGACAAAAATGTATAGAAATATTCTATAGTTGCCAATTAATGTTATGTTGATAAGGTCATTAATTTACCGAAAAACCTGCTTCAGTTTTACAGCTCAGTTGGTGTAACCTAAGTTAGTATAAACGGTGCCCAAAACACACAACACAACTTTATTTCCAACGGTTTATAGCTGAAACACCCGCGTTGCCGAGTTGGAGGGAATTCCACTATTACATTAAAATTCAAGTAATTGTATGCTTACAGCTTTATGTCATTTTAAAACAGCGAGGCAACTTTAAATCGACAGAAATGTAAACGGAGTCTGGCGTTATGTAATCGGAGAGCAAACGCAGCTAACTGCGCCGCGTCTCGTAGTTCAAAGTGATTCAGTGTTAACATGCCTTCGTAGAAAACGGCGTAATCCTTTTAACATGAATAATCGTCTTTAGTTACACCTCCATTAGGTTTATTTTTATCTGGATTAAAAAAAACTATCTCTTCAAATTACAGCTAGGCTAGCTCTTAGCAGGCTGACGTTGGTTGCACAAACTGTTGTCATGCTAATAAATCTCCAGCTAACAGACTTCTGTGGCTCCGACTTACTTTCGGGCATCTCAACGAAGCGTTGATTTTCTTCTTTACCCAGAAAATATCCCCGTTTAGTCGCAAAGACACCAACTGAACCTCACAGCGTCTATTTTTTTCACCCTCGCAGCTGGTCAGTTAGCTTAGCGTTAAGTTCTGCAGCGAAGCTTCGCCGTGCCGTGTTGTGATGTAGCGTCACTACCGCTTCCGTTAAGACAACAGCGCCTTCTACAGTACAGAGGTCCGCGTGGCACTCACGATATTTTACTGTTTCCCAATTGAACTCAATACACGAAACCACGTTTTTCTGTCAAACAAGTCTAACTTTGTTAATTTATGATGGTAGTTCGCTCAGAATCCTTCACTTGGCCCACAGACATTTGAAGACCAATAAACAAGATTAGACAGTAGCCTATTATTATTATTATTATGTGATTTCATCAAGCCAACAAAACAGAGACTGTTCAACTGTCTGGAGGAAGCTGTGCTGACTGCTGCTTGTCATAAATCTGACCTCAAAATCTCAGACACACAAAATGAAAACATGCGTATCAAAGCAGATAAACACCATGTTTTTTTATTTTAATCATTGCTGCATCTTAAAGTACAGTACATACAAATTCTCATCAGAACAGTCTGCAATGAGTTCAACAAAGATTTCACACACAGAAGAATGATTCTTTAATATATTTATTAAATATTGTATTCCTATAAGTTTGACTTTACAGTAAATCTACTCTCATAAACTGCATCATTTACTGTTATTTTTTTGCAACAAACACTACAGTCACAATAAAGCACAGCACGTAAACACTGCAGCATGTTGTCAGAAATCCAAAATAACACAAATATGGCATGTATTTGAAGTGTAAGACAATATTTATGACACATTTGTTTTTGGTTAAAATGATCCTAAAACTTCATCTGTTTCCGAACAGTACTTAAATTACAAACATGCTTCTGAATCACCTCCTGTGAAAAATTATACTTCTTCCCATTGTGAAACTTTTGGAGACGCATAACTCAAACTGAAATAAATTTATTTGTAGCTAAATAAAATGCACTTCACCCCTTTGTCATGTGTGGACAGCTGCAGTGAAGCAATGCAGCGCCCCCTTCAGGTCGGTTCAGTCACTGCTCCTTCTGCCGGTGAAGGACCTCCAGGACCAGCCGGTGCTCCTGCTGCAGTTATTCCGTTTTCTTTATTCTGGTTATTCTGTTGCTGATTTATTAAATTAATTTATCAACACAGTCACAGTAACGAAACATTTAAAACCCAGACAAAGAAACTCGTTTTATAAATGAAAGAGGAGAGGATCACTGCAGACCCCTCACACCCTGGACATGATCTGTTCGAACTCCTCCCCTCTGGACGGCGTTACAGGTCACAGTGCGCCAGCATGATCTGTTCGAACTCCTCCCCCTTCCCCAAGGCTGTCACTCTGACGAACATTTGACCCACGACAGTATGACTGGACAAAAACCCTCAGTGCAATACATTGCACAGATCCGTACAGGTCACAGTTTTTAAATACTCTACTTTTATTCCTATTTATCTCACTTCACAATGAGCATTCCTTTGTCTGTCTGCATTGTTTACTTCCTGTTTATACTGCATTATTTGTTGCTTGTTAATACTGCTTATTTTGTTATACTAGCCTTATGTTGGTTTACCGTTTACTTGCCCCTTGCACGGGGATACGTACATGCACTTTGAGAGCCGATGTACCAGAGTCAAATTCCTCGTGTGTCCGGCGCACCTGGCCAATAAAGCGGATTCTTATTCTGAAATCTATACAACAGCGTCAGCAAATGAAACCGAACACCACCAGACCTCCTCTGTGAACATCAGCAACAGTGATTTATGAGGAGACTCCTCTCAGTAAAGGCTTTATGATCTGTAAATATAAGATCAGATTTTATTGTCCACAGTGAAATTTGCATTTACACACAGAGCTGCTGTTGTGCTGTATTATAGTGGTTAAGGTGGATTTACTGTTAAGTCAGAATTCACG